CATGGAAACGTAGTAAATATCTGTCACGCCACGCTAATATAGCAGTTCACATTATGGCGTAGTTGAATTTTTTATCAAATAATGGCCCATCCCGAATAAAGTGCTGTTTTCTCAAAAAAAAATTGATCTTTTTTTATAAAAAATGACATATACTATCCTCCTAACTGTCCAGAGTATTACAAGAAAAAAAGTACAACCTGTTAGGTATGTCTAGTGTAAAAAGTGACAGAAGTGTGTGAAAATACTGCAAACTATTTTCCATCACATGATTGTTATTATGTTGCACCTTCAGTGTTTTACTATTAGAGGCCAATTAAAATAGTAGAGAGCTGATTTATTCCTTGAACTCCTACACATTTCAAATTATTGTAATAGCAGAGGGTAAGTACCTACTTCTTAAAAATAATAATCCTTTTATAAACTTTGAAAAAATGAGAAGGGAACATTAAATTTCTCTCGAGATTCCCTAAAAAGTTTACTGTTCATCGGAAAATTTGGTTTTAGTTGTACATTTCACATGAAACACTTAAAAAGAAATGTTGATTGGTGCAAGAAAAAGTCAAAATTGTACATTTCTCACGTTGAAAGATGAAAGATTTCAAAATGTTTAAAAATTATTTCAAATGGAGAAATTAATCGTATAAGTAGGTAATTATTTCATCCAAAGTTATTATAAATTCGGGAAAGAACTTACTGCTAGGGTTCGGTTTTTTCAATCGTGGGTTAGCTAAACTCACACTTTTAGAATTCGAATTTTTCCAATTTTACATTTGTTTTGAAAGTGGTTACAGCAACAATATTTTATCTAACTTTTAGTTGAAGTGGTTTGCATTAGAATTTCATCGATTTTTGTGAAAATATAATACTAGGTAACCTCCAACTTATGTTAACTCACGATTGGAAAACAGGCCTAAGTGAGAGAATTGCATAAGAAATGCGGCAACGTTGCTTCAGTCCATTACATCATTTTAGCTAAGATATAGAATGTTTCCAGTAACCAGCAGTTCCAAAACAGTTTTATCGTATTTTTTTGAAAGTTGATAACTCAGTTACACGTGGGAATAAAAAAAATGTGTCAGAGAGTTTCTACAAATTTCAAGAATCGGTGGTTTAAATATAATTACACACTTAAGACTCACCCTGTATATATATTGTTTGCTTTGTTAATGACTTAATCAGCTACTTGGAAAAAATATCAAATGTTTATGGGGTGTGCTATGCCGATGATACAAATGTTCTAATCACAGGAAATAATTTAAATGAAGCCACAGTAACCAGTGAAGGAGTCTGTGAAAGGATAATATGCTGGTCCTAAAAAAATAAGTTAATTTTAAATAATTCTAAAATTTTGTAGGGACGGTATTGATAAAATTAGATTTAGATTACTATCATTGTTTAACAAAAATAAATAAGTTGTGACTCAGAATTTCACAAATTTGTTAGTAAGTTTATAAAATCATAATTTGTATATTACACAATTTGTGCAAACCCTTTAAACAGTTGCTTAAAAGTAACTGTAATTAGAATGGTAATAAAATATGTAGTTTAAAGACACGATTAACAATAAATTAAGCTTAAGTTGCTATTACTTGTTGAGTAAAAATAAATAAATTTTCCTCTGAATTTCCACAATTCGTTAGAACACGTTTTCAACAAAATCGTTGAAACGAAATCTTTATACTGGACAAATAAAAGGTACAAGTATTATGCCCAATTAAAATGTGTAAAACTGTATAACGTTTGCTTTGAAATTTCATAATTGTTTAACATTATTACATAATACTTAACACTGAATACATCACTGTTCGTTATAATCAAATGTGTCTGTCCATATCTGTTTTCATATTCATATGAATATTCTATGCACGTCGTCGGTATGAAACTTATGCGCGCACAAGCAACAAAAAATAAAATCTTGTACACAATTCTCTGGCAAGTGGGATATCTGATTCGTAATCTACGTGATAGGTATTTTAAAGACTAAAACTTTTTAATATATATCATATTGCAGTATTTTTGGTGATAATGTAATAAATTGAAATGTAAGAAGAAACAGATCCTATTCTTATTGTCAGAAAAAATCAAGAATACAGTGGAATATTTGAAATTATTGGTCAAGGCGTGAAAAGTGTCTTAACTGATTATTAGAAATGTTCAATGTTATATGCAAAATTGCAAATATTAATAAAATCAATAATTGGAATAATAAATAACGGATTAGATTTTAGATATTTAGTAATATAATTGAGCATAGTAGTCTAAAACGTGAATAACTACCCTCATTTTTGATTCCAAAAAAAAACAACTATCATCCATCAGCTTATAAACAGTGTACCTACCTATCTATAAATTAGATGCTTTTAAAAGGTTGTACGTGGTTCTAACTTAAACGACGTTGTCGATAGCTTTTAGGCCTTATCTCGCCGAGAGAAAGACATAAGCAAAGTGACAAGAAGAAGTTGACAAGGCATGTGTACCGTGAGCGCATAGCACTCAAGAAGACCGGCTTGGGGACCGCAAAAGTCCACACTTGCGGTGTTCGGTGCCATCGTTATCTGTGAAATCTACACACATTATCGGAGAGATCCGATCTCGTTACAGGCAGCAGCATGTTCAATGGCAAACGGCTACACCGATTGAAGGTCGATAATTACTCCCCTTTAATTATTATTTATAGCTGCTATCTGGATTCCAGAGTACACAACAAAACTGTCAGCTGCGCAATTCTTAACAAATTGTTCAGTCAACTGGATAAAGAAAATCCATTTATATAATTGATATAAAACACATATGTGTTGGTATTTATTATAATTAGTTTCATTTCTGGTTATCTCGTCATCAATCAGTTGCATACCAAATATAGTAGTGGTTTGATTTACACCAATTAAGATATATTTAAATATGTTGCATATACACAATGACCTAATATTATCATTTATAAAACAAAGTATAAGTGATTAATTTCGCATTTAAATGTACGAATGGTTACTCTATTTAATTTTTTTAGGTCAGGTTACAATATAACTCAAAAATCAAAAAATAACCCAAATAGTACAAATTGATTTTTAAAAGCACTAAAAATATCTACACCACCTTCATATAAAGCTGAATGCTGTATAATTAAGAGTTAACAACAATATTTCAGTATTAAATAAGTATCTAGTATATACCCCAAATAGGCACAGTTTATACAGGCTCGGTAGGCTTCGTAAATAGTACATAAAATCTTAAGTCTGTTTCATTTCAGCTTATATAAACCATATTATAGAGCTGTTAACAAGTTGCAGTATAAGGACTACAAGTCAGTTTTTATACAGTAAAAGATTGCTTTAAATGTGAGGTACGGTTTGCAATTATAAAACAACCGTATTATAGTGTCTGTAGCAACTCCCCATGTAGTAACTTTTTAGTTGTTATATTGCAGAGATATAACTGAAATGAGAAAAGTATATAAATGCTTAAAATGCAAGAACTTTTTTGTTGTAAAAGAAAATTCTGAGTTATGGTTTTAATATATCTTTAAAAAATACTTTACACTTTGGCTGTTTTGTTTTTCATTTTATACACACACACACACACACACACTACATTAGCTGACATATATATTTTCTGCAGGGATAGCGATGTAAAAATTGTTATGGCGAATTATTAGGAAACAGAATGAAGATTTTTGCTTACAAATTAGTAGATTTGTCGTCCGTAGAAAACAAAACTTTTCTGTTGAAACAAACTGTTACTTCGAAATAATAGACGGCCCACCAAAATTTCTTGTATTTGATATTAAAAATTATTTAAAAAATACATATTTTTATTTTTTTATAAAATTAGGAAAAAATAATGCAGCAATGTATTCTGAATACCCCATAAGGGACTGTTGTAAATATTTAACAAAATTTTCCTTTTCCAGTAATAAAAGGTTAATTACATATCGAACTGATTGCAATGGCCGCCTCGTTACATTTACTTTTAGAAAATATAATGTCTCCTTGAACAAATCCGAAGAAAGTCACTATAGAAGCAGTTATAAATCTTTAAAACAGCACTTTGGCTGTATATAAGTGCACCTTACTTTATAAGAGATGTTTTTTCGAGGAAACTCACTTTTAAAACAATTATAAACAAATAAAAGAGTACTCTGGCCTTTGGCTGTGTTGAAGTGACATTAATAGCGTTTCGAGACGATGTATAAGGTATTCTAATCAAACATTCATAGAGCAATTTCGCCTTCAGTGACGTATCAATAAAATCCTTAACACAGGTGAATTTGATTGTAAAAAATCCACATTTTATGTAATAATTCATTTCATGATGACATAATCTTGGTCTAGAGGGATATATGATATTGGAACTATATATTATGGCAATTTATAGAACGAATTGGTTATACTGAAGCATTAAATTGCTTATAAAGCAATTGGGTGGAATAAGATTGCTGGTAAAACGATCTCGCAGCATAAATATGAGGCTACCTTATTAAAGCATCATATATTTTTTTAATATAACATATGTATGCAACTGTTTTACAGATTAGCTGTTTCTCGATGGTGGTTATATAACATTGAGTTTTAAAGGCTTTTAAAGCAACATTTTTATAGCAATATAGTTATTTAAACTAAATGCCAACTATGTCTACTCTAATATAGATTATTTATACAGTCTTTGTACATGTAGTAAAACAAGTATTCTATAAGTATTTATGGAACTGAAATTCTCTTTTCAAGCTTTGTAGCTGTGATCTTCCACCTTTATAGAATTCTTTTACAGCTAAAGTTACTCCATCTCAGTTATTTAACAAAATATGCCATTTTAGGCTTAATATATACAACAAATAAGAAAATAAATACCTAAAGCATTAATTAAACATCACAGGTTACAATTTCCTGTATCCCTGAAGGTACTTCAAGGTACCTTGTGCGGAAGACGGCTACACATTTAGAGACAGTGGACACACACCCAATGTCCGAGTATGCTAGGATTAATTTCTGGGTTAGAAATAGTCCTAGCCCCCTCGACCGGGGATCGAATCCGGGACTCCAGGGTGAGAGGCAAGTATTCTTACCACTCGACCACGAAGCCAAAAGTAATAAACTTTTTTCATAAAAAACTATAAAATATTTAAAAACGCAGCATATCCAATTATTGACATTAACAATCTAATGAATGGCACGCTGCGTACCTAGTTATTGGCACAACTTAAATTACCTACCTAGGTACCTAGGTAGGTATATAATAAATAATAAATAAGCATAAACAATGACGTATTAAACGGAAAACATGTATTAAACAACAAATTATATTATGCAATCTCTAGCCTTTAGATTCACATATTTCACTTAAGTATACAAACAGCACATCTATAAATGTCTTTAAATAAATTATATGGTATGCCTTTAGTACAGTATTGACATTTTACTCCTAATTTGTTAGAAGTTATATTTTTTTACAGACAAGAAAAGCAGACTGATTTTTTAATGATTTTTTTTTATGAATTCTTTTTTTGTCGATTTTCCTCCCGATTCTCGATTTTTTCTTTCAGGTATTCTTCCCTTTATTAAAAAATCTTCCAATATTGGTCTGGAAAATTATATGTCTTAATGAATAATAATTTTATCATTGTAAGGCGGATTATCAGGCTTTAGTACTGCATCAGAAGATAGGTCAATCAAAAAGTCTATTGGCATAATTTCCATTTCTTCTGAAAAAGTAGCAGCTGTAATTTCTACTATGCTCTTTTCATTCTCTGAAGTTACAGAAGAGGTTTCTGATGGCTGGGAGTTAAAAAAGTTAAACATTTGTTCAAGAGTATTTTTATATCCGTATGAGTACAATGTGGTATCATCTTCTAGCGCCATAAGATTATTTTCATTTATATTATTACAGAAATTGTTGAGGCTCATACTTGTTCTATTCTCACTACCACTGTTATTTCTGGTATTGCCATCTTCAGTATTAACAATTTTGCTGTCCCACGGACTTGGTGAAATCTATTCCATTTGGGTTCCATGGACATAGTCCAGAGACTCCATATCTCACCTGGAATGGGATATAACGCAGTTACAGCCGGAATAATTTTATTTATAGAGTTTCAGATATCTGTCGCTGGTTAAATTTTCTTCGAGAAAAAAAGGACCAATGATATTACTACCTACTATGCCCGCCTAAACACTAATTCTCCGAGGAAATTGGGTATGGACCTCCCAGAATCAATAGGGACTTTCTTGGGCCTACTATTGATAATTAGACTTATTAAGTTCGCTGATCAAACAAAATGTTAATAGAATTTTATTAAAAAAATTTGGGTTGTTGTTACTCGTTGAAACATTGTCTTTAAACACCTATTAAAATCATTATCTGACAATTCTTGCACTAATTCTATTTTGTAGGACTGAAGTTTTTCCTTTTTTAGAACCCTTACCGCGAAATAAACTTTCAGATCGCAAATACTCTACCTTGTTGAGGAATGTGAATCCTCTTGTACCATCAATACGGCTTTATCGTTGCTTGTGGTTGTCTTAGAACGCCCTGACTTTTTAAAATTATTGACATTCCCTATTTGGTTGAATTTTTTTGGATAATTTTACACACTGTTGATTGTCCTCTTGTGGGACGATTGGGGTATATTTTATTAAAATATTATATACCTTCAACTGGGTATATAACTATCACTTCAGTTCGTTGTTCTTGAGGTTACTGTTTCATTAAAGTTTTTAAGGAAATCGCAATAAAGAAGAAATTTATTACAACAGACACTCAGTATGTCAAAAATTAAATCAGTTGTGAAACAATAGAAAAGCAAATGATTTATTGCCAGTAAAAGGAGATTACTTTTACCTTGCATTTATTTTTGGAAGAACTTTTTGAAATTTTATTATGAAATGTCTTCGTTATTATTCCGTAATGTGATGGATGATCAAATCTTATATCAGGAAAATTGGAAAAATGATCTATCACATAGTTAATGAAAATAGAGTATTCTATTTGAAATAACAAAGATGGTAGCAATTACAGAAAAACAAAAATAATCATTGCTTTAGATAAACATTAAATATGTCGAGCTCTCTAATTATTTGTTCCTGTTTCATCTGGATTTTTCAACAGATGATCAGAAAATATCTCAGCAGCATCATAAAATGTAATTTTATTTTAAATATAATGCCTGTATAACGTGCAGAAAATTAATTAAAATCGCACATTAATAGGATGTTTTATTCCAAACATTTAAATTGTAAAAAGTTCAAATTATAATTACAAATATAATTACCTGGCATATGCGCATAAATTTGCCGTTCCTCAAAACGTTTATTCTGATTCTATTATGATAAAATCTATTACATACGTTGGATCGATTTGTTTCCCGCAGGTTTACTTGTTAGTGTTGGAACAAATAAAATATAAGAATCGTTTCAAAAACTGATTATAAAGTAAAATTTTGTGTAAAACAAGTGAAAACAATGAATGACATATCTTTGCCATCGTATGAATAATGATTATTAGAAAGATCAGGTAAGATATATTGGTATAGATGTCACCTCTTCACGTATACAGCCTGAAGCAAATGCGAAATTACTCGTTACAATAATATACAGGGGATGAATGCAAGGTAACTTTCAAAAGAGTCATGTTGAAACTGTCATATTCTTGCGATGTTGCGCATGCTAATGCGAGTATATTTACTGGACAATTGTCTGGGTTACGAGGTCCATAAGCACTGATTATATTCTTATTAGAGTAAGTACGATTTTGACAGCAGAAATAGAGTAACATAACGTAAATGTTTTGTACTTGTGTTTCACAAATAAATTGAACAATAGCCAAGTTATTTACAGTACTAAAATAATCCTCAACTCAACGAGTGCCATTAAGAATAAACCTTACGAGTAAGTAGTGTAACGAAATTGCAAGCTATTTCATTCCAGTTTGTTGTGTTCTGCTAGTCTAGTCCAGACGGCGCCACTGATTTTACTGGAACTGTTGGTTTTACAGATTTTTGGCATTAAATATCCATCTATCTTTATTGCTCATACTCTACTCTCAAATTTCTATCTCTTTCCAAACTATAACCGAGTTTAGGTGGAAGAACAAGAACGGGACTTCTTCCTTCTTACTAGTGTAGCGTTCTGATGGAAACCATCTCTAGTTCAGCGGTCTGGTAAAATTTATATGTTTTCTGGTATTATCATTTGATTTTATGATCATCATTATTTACAAAGTTGCTATATTGATTTAAACTACCTTTGAGGTAATTTTCATAATAATATTGTACCGTAATTATCTTAATTTACGCCTTGGGCGAATTTGCTTTTCGGTGATCAGTTCACCTTGGTTGTTCTTTGGAACAGCCATCATTAATATTGATTAGTATCGATTTATCGTGCCTTGTTAGCAATTTATCTAATATCCCTTTGATATTGTAATAAGTTCGTGTGCTAATTTAAACTAACTTTCGGTTATTGTAAATTTTAGATTTACTCGGCAACGGATGTCGCCATTTTGTATCGTAGTTAGTTGTTTTCTGTCTTTGTCTGTTGATGTTTTAGGTCACTTAGCTACGTTGGTAGCGCTCTGAACAGTGGTGACTGGTGACATTTGGAGATTGGTACACCTTGTTGGACCAAACCTATTTGTTTATAACCTTTGTGAAAATTATCTAATGTGGTGCATTTATTTTGTGGTGGATTATTTTATACCAGTGCATACATTTATCAACCAGACCTCAGTAACGTAAGGTTTTTCTAAATTTAAAATATCGAATGTTTACTTGAACGTTTACTTAGTATTTAGTCAGGAACGCTCCTCTAGTGGAGCCTTGCCTAGTTCTCTGGCAAAGATATCTGCCTAGTTATCTGGCAATTGATTAACTTTTGATTATCTACAGTAAACATATAGTCAAGTTATATATCTTAAACTTTATTTGCAATTCATTATTCCCTCTCTCCGAGGAACTAATAAATAATTTAATTTAACGTTACCTTCAGGTTGAAAACTATCATATTGTTTTATATTTAGCAAATATTTATTTACGTTATCTTTCTAGTTGTCTGTCTGTATACAGACATTAAAATTCTATTTTCTCGAAGATTAACTTCTTTTAGTAAAAAAATATCTTAACATTTAGTAAATACCTATTTCACTTGTTTAGTATCGTAGCTACACCTAGTTTATTTGTTGGACTAGTATTTTTTCTATTTAACGTAACTTTTATTGATACTTAAGTTAGTTGAAGTCTTCAACTTCCTAAAATATTGTAGGATACCGATCCTAGTTTGTTTAGTTTTGCAATTTACTCTGTAAATTCGTGTTAACTCTTATTTTGACTACGTAGCTGGACAATTCAAACGTCACAGCTTTTAACCTTGTTTTGCCTATAATACTGATCTCATAAAACTCTCCCCTTTTGATGTAAATACCTGAACCAAGAGTAGAGGATAACTGGTGGATCGAACTGATCATTATATACTGGGTGGAGCAGGAAAATGATATTTTATACAACTGTCATTTTTTCTCAAGGGTAACTGCAGTACTGACAGTGGTGAGTCAAACTGACACCGAACCCATTAAGAGCTTAGCCGTTCGTGGATTCTTCGCTGGACTAACCCATTGGAAGTTACGTAAGATCTTCGTCCCCAGTAAACATTTATATTTGGTCAGAAGAAATTTGTAAGAGATCAGTCATTTTATTTTTCATTTTTTTTCTCTTTCACTAACATCATTTTTTTTGTGTGGTTAGTTGTTGGTCTTCAACCACCTCTAGATTTTTTTTGACTAAAAGAGGCCGTCTGAGCCATTGTAAATATTGTGCATATAGATTATTATACTTTTTATTAAATAATATCTTTTTATTCAACTTTCTTCCCAACCGAATTCAAGTTGTAACGTTATCTTTATCTTTTAAAGTAAACTTTTCATTATTTGGTACTTGCAAAAGTCCTGGCGCCCAGCCTAGATTTTCGTGAGAACTCAAATCAATCTAAGCCCTTATTCACGACCTGCTCACTGAGCTACTGGTCAATAAGTACAACCCCCAGCTTATTGTGTTATGCCAGCAATTGGACGGGGGTGTTGCAGTAGATACAGCC